AGACGTGTGCTCTTCCGATCTCCCCAAAACCCCAAAACCCCAAAACCCCGTGATTAGCCATAGATGTTTCAGATCGAAGTTTAATAAAATTAATAAAAAAGAATTCAAAATGAATTTCGATGATCCATCATAATTCTTGATGATGCCTCCTGGTGGTGGATAGCCTAGAGCAGGTAAAATATCTCATTCAGCATCATTTACTAATTATTATGACTACTTAGGCAATCAAATGAAAAATTAATCTTCAATGAATATGGGAAAAGGTTATGGAGCTCAAAATTCTCCCTCATCATAATTAAATGGGAACATTAAAATGCCATTTCCATCATAATTAGATGTATTTAGTAAAGATGGGAATGATTAATTCGGATATAAAGGTAATTATTACTATTGCTAGCATGATTCATTAATTTCTTAGATCCTGAAAATTTTAATGACTTTGAAGGTATGGGATATAATGGAGCACCTTCGATTGTTGACACTTATATTGGTGATTCCCAAAAAGAGTATGTTTCTTATAATCTATTTCTACCAATAGCTTTAAGATAACTTACTTTTGTTTAGTTAGTTGATTCAGAAATTGAGATAGTAGAATGGAATCTTGAGAGAGAAGCTAAAGGAATTGAATGTAGCTCTGGATACAGCATTAGAGAAGGCATCAAAGAACTTGAACAAGAAGAATAATTAGCTTCCACCAAATATAGAGCAGCTATTCAAGTCAAAAGACAGAGAGATGATGAACTAAGAATAGTAGATACTGAATTTAAAAAAGGAGGTGCAGTCTCTGAGATAAAGACTAGATACTGATTCTGGAATTGAAAAATAGATGAAACTTGAATCAAATCTTAAAGAGGCAGAGAAAAGAAATTAGGAGCTAATGAGAGAAATAAAAGCGTTATAAAAAATATAGAATGAACAGGGCAAAGCCTTGGATAAAATAACGAATTCTAATGACTATATAAATAAGATAAAAAATCTAATGGATGAATTAAAGCTTACTAAGGAAAGACTCAAAGACTTTGAGGAGAAGGCTCGTTGAGAAGAAAAGACCAATAGAAGTTAATTCGAGCATATGATGAAACTTGAGGAAAAATGTAAGGAACTCAAGGCATAAAATCAATAACTTTTGACAGGAGGGCAAATATAACTAAAAAACTTCGATAAAGATGAGTAGAAGAGTAAAGATCAATTGATTGAGGAACTGTAGATTAGAAACGCCTAATTAGAAAAAAATAAAGAGATACTAGAGAAATCTAGGGAGCAAGATCTTAAGAAGATAGACATGATGAGAAAAAAGCATAAGTCTTAGATTGAGGAATTATTTGCTTAGCTTGAACATCTCAATAGGGGATATAAAGAAAAAGATTAAGAGAGCCGCATAGTAGCTTCTAGGTTGAAGGAGATGAGCAGAGGTATTAAGAATAGTCAGCTAGCGCCACTAAATGATAGAATTAGAAATGCTAGTGTGGATATTAGTTTGAACTAGGATATTTAAGATAAAGCTGGAGCAAGAGGACTTGGCTTAGCAGAAAAATCTTCTATAGTAAATTCTCACAAATATCAGTCAAAGATACCTTAGTTAAAGCAAGTTGGTTTAAAACATAACTTCCCAATAACTCAGCCTTAGACGCCATCTAAAATTAGAAACCTAGGTAGTCAGCTAGGAAGTAAGCATGGTGGATCCTCATCAACGAACAGGAAGGAAACTGAATAGTTTGTGAATCTATAAAAAGTTAACTATAAGTAAATGGTTGATGACACTAAGAAGGGTTTGGCTAAAAACTATAGCAAGCATGAACTATCTAGCATTACAAAAAATGATAAGTCTGATGAGGAATTTTATGACTATGATGAGAAATCTTTTGAAAAGAGATATGGTCAGAGACTGAACCAAGCTTCGACTATCGATAGTGAAAATTAGAAGTAAAGCTAATTCAAGAATCAGAAGGCAGGAGGCTAGAATGAGGGGGGCAAGTTTGAATTACCAAATGATACAGAGAGTAATGTAGATGTGAATTAGTCTATGATTGGACTAAGTAATCAGAATAGAAGATAGCAGCAATGAACTGAGAAGAGTGGTGAGAGACTCGGTAACTCAAACAAAAATAATCATGCTTAGTAGAAGCCCAGTAGCACTTACAAAAGAGAGTATATGGATTAATTCGATGAAGAACTGGGTAAATCAGATTTAACTCATATAAATAACAACTTAGAAACTAAGAATAGTGGATAGATTGTAGACCACTATAACTGAATAAAGTTATCAATAATAAACTTATAATTCTAAATTATGCAAGTTACTAATTCTCTAATTCTCAAAGCCAGATTTGATACACGGGGTTTTGGGGTTTTGGGGTTTTGGGG